AAGAGTGCGGAGAGAGAGTTGACCAACTTAAGCTTCACAGCATTCGAGAAGCATGGGCAATAGTGAACATTCTATGAAAAGGGTATTTTTCCTGAATGTAAGGCTCTATCAAAGTGCTCATTTTGTCTGAATCTAAATGACCGAGATTTCTCTATATTATCTCATTTAATCCTCACAGCAATCCTATGAGAAAGGTTAATACTAGTAATTTCATTTCATCGAGGTGGAAAAGGAGTTGCTGAGGAACAGGGAACACGTGCAGTATTAAGAAGGGGTTTTCCAAAAGTTTATGGAAATGCATCAGGAAAACAGTACTCATAGATTTAAAAAATAATGAAGTATATTTATTTCATTTATGAGAGAGACAAGCATCTCAATGGGGCCCCACTCTGTATCAGCCATCCTTCCCAGTCAGCCAGGATCACGCATGCATCCAGTATGTACAGGTGAACCAGGGACCAAACGCCTCGGTCTTCCATTTGCACCTGACTTGCCTTGAGAAGCCATATAGGCCCTTGAAATATGGTTTTGCGCTGAAATAGATTTGTACTTTAATTCCATTTTCCACAAACTTTTTGAAGGTCACGTGTGATGAGATGGAATTGGGAGCTCAATATTTCGGGGACGGTCAACAAGCTAGTCCCTGTTTGTTGTAACTCTTGGTCCTTCTGGTGCCATTAAGGGGAGTCACCGCAAATTTCTGCTTCTCCTTCCGCAAATAATTTGCTGTCAGCCCTGGTGATTGCTCAGTTTGCCTCAGGTCACCCAGTTAGCGGGTTAAGTTCCAGCTGAGCCTTTCAGACTCACCTCCCAGGTACAGAACCGTCCATCACCCTCCCTGCCCTTTCATACTGTGTGATAATATGGCATCTCTTCAACTCTCCCATTGATTTACGAATGTCAAGGCTTGAAGAAAAGCCTCTCTCTGTCTTGAACCAACAAAGTGCTCAATAATCATTGTTGAATGAGTTTACAAATACTCTGGGGAAATAACCGAGGTCTACTGTGAAATCTTATGGCAACCTGCATTTTTTTTTCATATCTTATTGCATATTTAAGCCCAAAAGGTTATTGATGACTGTCTTTCTTGAAATCCCATGACAGCAAGAACCATGTAGGTTTTATTCACTGTGTGTCCCCATCTTCTAGCATGGAACATAGATTGGCCACTGGTGGTTATCACTGAATGGATCATTGTGATGAGAAGAGTAGTTTTTATTTCACTTATTTATTTTTTTTAAGGTTTTGCCATAGGGCATGATGTGTACTCTACAGAGAGAGACAGTGAGAGGGAATGTGAGAAGTCACCCCCTCCACCCCCCATGGTGATGGCCACACTGCAATCCCTTCTCCTTTATTCTCTTCTTGGGATTTTTGGGCACACACTCACACATGCCCGGCATGAGTTTCAAGCCACTGGATCCAGGACTCAGACGCAAACCAGCTATTTGAGAGTCTAGCACTTTAACCAGTAGGCCACCTGTAGGCCCAGACAAGAGTAATTTTAGAAATCTAAGATTCTGAAGATGGTTGTTCCTACATCTTCTCTAGGAATTTCTCAAAAGCTGTTCTGATCTCTTTCCTTGTTTTCTTCACTTTTTCCTTCTCTCTCTTTACTGCGATTTATCACCCTTTTATATAGCACTCACTCCGTGATTATCCCTGTTGGAAATATGGTAAAATAGTAATCCATTTAGTTATAATAGCAATTCTGTGAGAGAGGTATTATCATCCTCCGTAGTTTATATCTGAGGGTCTGCGTATGGAGACACTGGGCTGGCAAACATGCCTGGGTCCCACAGCTCCCCTTGGCCTGAGGCTTTGGTTTGAACTCTGACTACTGGGAGATTCTTCTTCAGATTATTCCCCTCCTGGATCTGCATATAAATAGAAATGAGGCCCCTTGGCCCCACAGTTGCACATTGGTTTATATTCTCCTTTTTAAGTTGTATTTTATTTATTTATTTTTTTTGTACTTACCCAGAGTTAGTCAGCTTTCATGCAGAGTCAAACTTCAAATCTCAGCAGCTGACGAGAGCACGCAGTTCCTGGCCGTAGTGCGTGTCACGACTGCACGTCAACTGCTGTGACTCTGCTCCACGAGTCTTCACAGCTGGTGGGTGGAGACCTCTTCCAAGAAGAGAGCTGATATCTGAACCAGTCCTAGGATCTGCCGCGCTCATTCAGTCGGCTTTGGCTACCGTGTGTGGTCTCCCCTGGGCAGTTCCCACAGCAATACGTTGAGGCCTGCAGCTCAGCTGCTCCTCAACAACAGCTGGAAAAGCGGATTCAGAGTAATTCAAATATATTTACCTATAGAAAATGAATTTCTAATTCATATTTTTTAACAATTCACTGGAGATGATACAGGTTAAAAATCTGGTAGCAGAGAGTTTTTCTAATTCTGCCTCATTAGACTCTAGTTTTACTCCTCAGCACTAAGAAACATTTGCTTGGGTAGAAATACTCTGACCCAGGACCAGCCGATGGCATAATGGTTGCCTTGCTGGACTCCCATGTAGTTGACCATGGTTTAAGTCCAGACCCAGACGCTTGAAACTCAATGCTGGGCATATGTGTTCATGCCCCAAATCCCAAGGGGACAATCAGGAAAGGATTGTGGCATGGCCATACCCCCTGGGGGTGATTTTTCAGTTTTTGTCTCACCATCCCTCTATAAATCTCTAACGAGCACCCGTGCCCTACGGCAAACATTTCTCTATAATAATAATAATAATAATAATAAAAATACTCTGAACCCATTGCATTTTTTTTCTTAGAAGTTTCTTCAGTATAATTTCTCTCAGTTTAGCCCATCCATAATTTTTCAAATGCCTGCTATGGAGCTAGCCCTGTGCCAAGAATTGACATTGTAACGGTGAGTTTGTTTGTAGAGTACTCTTGTATCTTGTTCAGATTAAATGAATTTCTTGAGAGCAGAGTGGTTATTTACTATGTCTTAGCAAGAAGAACACTGCTGGCACATAGTACACTTCTCATAATGACAGAGTAGACGCCATATTGAATAATGGTTGGACCAACTGAATAGATGAAGATGGGAATTCTCAAATGCCTCTCTTTCTTTCCCAATAGGAACTCCTACTTGCAGAAAAGTGGGCTAAAATGAACAAGCTTCCCTTTCCCAAGATTGATCCTTACGTGTTTGATCGGGAAGGACTGAAAGAGTGCTATGTCTTCAAACCCAAGAACCCTGATGTGGAGAAAGATTGCCCAACCATCATCCACTTTGTGTTGGCCAACATCAACTTCAGAAAGTACAAGGCTCCAGGTATGATGGGAATAAGTTATATTCAATAAAGTGAGAACCTGGTATGGATCCAGATCTATTCACGATGATCCTGCTGTGGTGAGTGCAAGATGGAAGGCTTACCTTAATGTTGACAGAGAGCTCCTGTCCTGAAACTCCAAATACTTCCCCTCTTTCTCACCTCAAGATCCCTTGAATTCCTCACAGCCCAGACACTCGGCAAAAATCTCTGAGCCTCAACTCTAAAACCTTGTATTCTGTTGATTCTGGTTGGCTGGTGATCATGTCATAAGGGTTATTAAATGTTCTGAATGTCACCCCTGTATGATAGCTTTTGTTTTTGAGCACATTACACACAAATAATTCCAGAAATTTTTAACTATCCTCAAGATGCATGTAAGCTGGCACCATAAAGTGGCTAGCAATTTCAGGTTGCCACATGTTGAATTTCATAGAAAACAAGAACCAAGTTCAAGGCACAGTTGTCTGTTTCATCACATCCAGAGGAGTCTCTAGACTCTTCTGTGTCCTAGAATGCATTGATGAACACAAGGAGACCTAGAATTGACAGGAAAATGCCTAAGGCTCTGAAACAATATTAGTTTAGGAGCAGAAAATGTAGTTTTCCATTTTGTGAATGGAAAGACACACACACACACACACACACACACACACACACACACACACACACACACACACACACACACACACACACACACACACACACACACACACACACACACACACACAATCAGGAAAGATGGGTTAGGTGAAAATGCAGAAGAAAATGATTTTTTTTCTAGATTGTTCAGGAAAACAGAGAGGATTGACCAGGGTGGTGGCTCTTGTGAGGCATGCTTCTGCACAGGAGAAAGAACTGCCTGGCATTTGTAGTTATTTAAGAGTGGAGCACATGAAACCTAGAGGACTTTCTGTCACCATTACTTCTCAAGGAGAGACTTAACATATGGGCACATATTGGGAGTTTATATGACAGGAATTCAGACAGTGTTTTAGTTTGTGGTCCTTCAAAGTGAGACTGAGAATTGGAGTGCAAATAGTTTACTTGAGTAAACTAGGGAACACTATAATTTATTAGTGAGGAAGTAGGGAAGCGATAAAGGGAAAGAAGGCAGAAACCGAAGCAAATGTTATTAAACCAGGGACCACAACAGGAACTTGACCCTGCTTGGAAAGTTCAGGAAATGGGACAGAATCCATGTTCCAGAATCTTTCCTCCCCTCACACCAGGAGGCAAGAAAACTGGGTGTTTATATACTGACTCCCTAGAGTCTTTGGTTAACCATTGTCTGGGCAAAGTGTTGTTTACCAGAATTTCCAGCCTGCTGCTGGTGGATAAAACAGCTTTCTGTAGTCCCACGAAGTAGAAAGCCCTCAGACACAGAGATGGAGAGAGTGGAAACTGGACGTCATCCAGCCACCACAGGCAGAAGTGATGGATTCTGAGGGCACTGAGGATTTTCTGACCCCTGAGGAGGCCCCTGCTGCTGTCTTTATGGCTATTTGTATGTTTTCTTCTGAGGATTTCAGAGAGAAGTTGTCGGTCTCACAATAACACCACGTGTGATTCTTCTGGTGTGTAGGTGTTCCAAGAGAAACGGAAGAAGAGAGAGAAATAGCCGACTTTGATATTTTTGATGACCCCGAATCACCATTTTCAACCTTCAACTTTCAGTATCCAAACCAAGCATTCAAAAGGCTGCATGACCTGATGCACTTCAACACCCTGAACAACATCGACGTAAGTGTCTCCGCTGACCGTCAGCGATGCCAGGCTCCTTCCAGCACGTGAACCCGGCACTAACCTTCTTCACTAACCGGACATAAAAATTAGGTTTCGAATCACTAAAACCCGAAATCTGTCACTTTACTTTTTATGAATTATTGTTCCAGAAGAACACGAAATCACAAATAAGGAACTAATGCTTGCAAATTGGCAAAGCCCACCTTTCATCCAGTTATTGGATTGAATGATTAATACTCAGTTTCTTTCCCATAGTATCTATACATTCCTCATACGATTAAATAAGTTACATGGAAGAAAAATGATGACAAGGACATAGAGTAGGGGAGCATCCCCAGACGTATTCGTGATCTGCAAAAATATCATGACATGAAGTTAATGAACAGACTCATGCCTTTATGTGTTTTATTTTTGTAGATGGTGGGAGTGTTGCCCAAGGTAACAGCTTAAGACTCTGAAACCATATTAGTTTAGGAGCAGAAAATGTAGTTTTTGTGAGGCTTTTGAGATACCAAGTATGCTTTTCTATAGTTTCTAAAAGTCATTTCTTAATATTGATCATTCCTATCACCAGCATGAGGGGGACTGCAAAAAGATGGTGGAAAAATGGAATTAGAAAACAAGTTTATAACCCAGTCTATATGGCCTGATGATTAAGGCAGCTGGATCCCATAGAGTCAACCACACAGTTTTGAGCCCCAGACCTGGTGACTTGACATGCCAGGCATGTGTGCATGTGTGCCCAAAATCCCTGAAGGAGAGAGAGGAGAAGGAAGGACTGTGGTGTGATCATTCCCAATGGGGAAGGGGCTACTTTCTCACTTTCTCTCTCTCTCTAGTGAGTGCATGCATGTACCTCCAGCAAATTAAAAACAAACAAACAAACAAACAAACAAAAAAAAAAAACCAAACACACACACACACACAACAAAATATTTATTTTGGTACAAAAAATTTTAATTTATGCCTTTTTTAAACAAATACACATTTTCTATAAGCTTTTTAAATCCCTCCCCATATGTCTACTGTTAAGATTCTGTATCTATGCGAAATTCTTCCTCACTAACTCACCAGTTAGTCACTACGGTGTCATTAAAACCATTGGTCTGTGGTTCCCAATTGTAGCATTTGGCAAATTATTATCAGTCGTGAACGTGTAAGCTCAGTGGTCTAATTGGATTCTGCATGTTAGAAAAAAAGGAATGAAAGAAAAATAAAGAACTTTAATGAAGACAGAAAGGTGAAACCCTAGTTGTTCGGAGACTGTAATGGCACAAAGGAACTCACTGTTTGGGGGTGAGAGCTCCATTTCGCGGGAGTGAGCTAGACGTTGTGAGCCGTTGGCGTTCAGGCATATCTGGCTGGTTTGCTTGTTTAATATGCCCTGAAGCTAGTAATGATCATTTATGTACAATCATGACAGTTGCACCGTAATGTGCTTAGTAATCAATATCTTTAATTTTTGTGAATTTAGGAACTTTCCCCAAATAACTTCAGTTCCTATAACTCTAAAATTCTTTTAGCCCTTCTGGCACATAAGTGATAATTCGTATAAACTATACTTATTAATGCTTATAGAGGGACCATCAGTTGGTGTAATGGCTATGTCGCTGGACTCCCATGTAGTCGACTGTGGTTCGAGCCCCAGACCTGGTGGCTTAAACTTACGCCAGGCACATGTGTGTGTGTGCCCAAGATCCCGAGAGGAGAATGGAGGAGAAGAGATTGTGGCATGGCCATCCCCCCTGGGGGGTGATTTCTCACTTTCCGTCTCTCTGTCTCTTTCTGTCTTTCTGGTGAGCACACACGCCCTATAGCAAAAACCTCTCTCCTCACCCCCCCCCCAAAAAATAAGCTTATCTCATTTTCTCAATATGTTTATTCCTGTTTTTTATTTTCATTTTATAAGCAGTGGACATCTAAAAGCCACAACATTATCTTTGCAGTGATAGTAAAAATTTAAAGAATAATGAGAGAACAAATGAGTATTTTAATGTATGATGTGTAGAGAGTGAACAGAAATCCTCAAAGGAGAGTTGTGTTTTATAAACTCATGCTACTAAAAGAGAAAAGAGCTAAGGAATAACACCACAGTATTCCGATCTTTCTAATGTGAGTCAGTAAACTCAAAGCAATATATTCCTTGGGATGAAATATATTAAACTTGGGTAAGTTCTAAAACCACTTGGGAACGTATGGGAGTGGGAGTGTGTGTTTTCTTGCTCTTTTCAATTCCGGTTTATATAAAACCTGCTAAGTTACTTGCTATCGGAATGATATAGCTCTGTTTGCTTATTTTACAAGCATTCTTCAAAGCCATTGTCTTGCTACAGATGAAAAAGTTAAAGTCTGAACAAAGACGGAATTCCAAAGTAACAGTCCTGACCTCTGTTGCTTCCAATGTTGACTCTTCACAAAGCACTCCTCAGAGTGTTTTTAACTGCTTCTGCTGACATGTCTGGCACAGCGGGGGAGACGAGGCCATCTTTAGGTCCCAGGTTACGTGTGTGACCTGTTGTAGGCTGCAGGACCCTCAGTCTGCTTGTCCCTGAGCAGGGGCAGTAGGTGCCCTCGTGAATCCAGCGAAGTAAGCCATGTCATGTGAGCAGAGGCTGCTCGGAAATGGGAAACGTCCCTGTGCGTGGCCACGACTCATATCCATGAAAGTCCATGGCGGATACGCCCCAAGCCCTTGGCAAATGCCCAGATTCACAACACAGATAAGTTTGTACAGATAACGGTAGCCTAGGCGCCAAGTAAATATTTATATTTTAACAAACGGATGTAAGATTTCTCCTAAATTACCTAACCACTGAAATTCATAGTCAAGTGATTCTATGTGTGTGTG